GGATATTAGGTCCCGTTTACCAGGATTTATCTAGGGAGTTGTAGAGTGTTATTGATGTCTTGAGAATCGCGAAGCATTGCGATAAAGAGTGTCATGTAGAATCTTTTGCGAGTGCGATCCTGTAGGAGTTTTTATACAACACCTTCAGGTCGCATCGAGTCTGATTGGAAAGTCGAAAATACGTGGCAATGGCCGATGCCTTGGAAATTTCCTCCAAGTTGACTCATGTCTGGCGGAACCGTTACGAACGAGGTTCGAGTCGACCCTTTGGAAATTCCCGGTTTACGATATTCGTTCTCTGTACGAACGAAGTAAACATTCCAAAACTATTATCTAGACACGCGTGCAGAGACTAAATGATTTTACCATGATTTAGTGTGAAATTGCTCCGTGTAACAAAAAATAAACTGAAAGAAGTTAATCGCGAAAATAATTTTGTTGGCACGTCCACGTCGTAAACGATCCTTCGAGGATTTTCACCGTTTTGTTCCGCGTCGGACACTGTCGCCTGACCAGACGAAGTATTCTTCCACTGACACCCACTCACCTCCGGTAACACGTGGTCCAGTTTGCTTTGTGAAAGAGACGTCTGGCTACGGCGGATATGCTGTTTCGAGTTACGTTACAATAATCCGTCTTATTTTACTTGCGCGGCAAACTGCGAGCCGCAGTTCCGGCTCTGTCGAAGTTCGCCCCATTCCCCCCGTAACGTCTCGCTGACTCTGCGGTACTCGGCGTTCCGCGCAAGAAATGTTTTGATACCTTTCACCGAGCGCGTTACACTCTCCCGGGGCACCGCGGTGTTAAACATTGCGCGCCGGGGATCGTTGATACGTACGCGAACTTCTCCAGCGCAATATTAACCGCTGCCTCCAGTGTATCTCGGCCGGCCGCGGTCCGACGGCCAACTTCCGCGGGAATTTCGCGTGGCCCCGAGTCAAATTCTTCGTTGGCTTTCTAATTTTCGAACTGCGAGTTTGCGCAACCGGCTGCTGTTGTTGCGCCGGTTGTGCAACTGTTAATCCACGTGGAATTATTCAATCTTAGCTGACGCCTCTGGTATCGTGAACTTTTCGATCTTCTTGTTGGAATTTCGAATTGGAATTTTGGAGAAGCGATTTGGAGAGAGTTTCAACGGCAAGTGAATTTTGATATATTCGAAAGGAGAGGTCATTATGTTTTTAACACATTGAGCGGCCCCGCGATAATGCGGAATTTTTAAGCCTCCGGTATCGTGGAACTTTTTAATCTTCTCGTTGGAATTGGAATTTTGGAGGAGTGATTTGGAGAAAGTTTCAAATAAGTTTTGATATATTCGAAAGGAGAGGTGATTGTGCTTTTTATTTTGATTTTTAGTCTACCGTTTAATTGCTAGTCTTGCATTAATGTAACATTTCAGATAACACAAATCCAAACTAAAATGACAAAATCGAATTCCTTATTCTTTTTCGCAAGTTACGAATTTCGGTTTGATTGGTGTTTAAAAATATATTAATATAATCACCGATACTCCCGTTTCTAGTAGCTGAAATTTAGGCGTTCAATGTGTTAACACCGAAACCACCGAGCAATTAAATTGACTGTCCAAAATTCCTCTATACAAACTCCAAGAATGCTAAACTCTTAGAAAACAAGCTCTACCGAGATTTTAATCGATTCATAGTTGGGTTTGCGTATTGTCAAATCAATTTCTTCGTTAATTACTCATAGAAACATCTGTTACCTTGTTAATAACTGCAAGGATACCAGGAATGGGTGATTTTGACTCGCCTGCTAGTTTTAGTGTGAATGTTCGTGAAATTGGTCATTGCGAGTAACTCCATTGTCACTTAGGTTTCACTCTAGCAATAGAATCGTATTGAAGTAGAACGCATGCGAATTCCTGGGACGAACACGCATAAACGAGAATTCAGTCTCACAACACCACTACGCATACATTCAGAGGAAACATTCTTAGAACCGGTTACATTCCATATGCGCAAGAAAACTTTCCACGACAGAGAACTCAGTCATACGAATCGGAATCAAAGAACCGCCGAGCGTTATCGACGAGGAATGCTAATTCCGGGTTTCGTGTTCACGTTAACATAGTTCAGTCGGCACCGGTGGCTTTCACTTTCCCCAGCAATCCGAAATCTTTCGTTTCGCTCGATAATCTGCGTCCGAGGGGAAACGGCACGTGATCGTCCGCGTACACGACGTTTGCGCGCGGCCAGGGACCGAACGCACGCAGCGGTGTGCGTGAAGAAATATTCTTAGAAAATGTTAATGCGCGATAAGATGATAAAAACGCACGCGAACCCTTTTTTCGTGCGTAATTCTGTAACGTAAGGGTGTTCCTGGGAAAGGATTAGATGCTGATTAGCTGATAACACGGTTTTATTCTTTGCCGTGCATTACGCCAGGCCGCTGAAACTCGCTCCGGCATAAAAACCTTATTTTACGTTCGG